CGAATTCGTCAAACTATCTGAATAAGAATTTTGATAATGAATTTAATGATATGCTAACAACTGCAACAATGGATAATAAAGAAATTATCCTCTCCGGTGACATGAACTGTGATTATTCCAAGCGTTCCGACAATAGAAACTTGAAGGACATAATAAAAATCAATGGCCTGAAACAAATGATTACCGAACCCACAAGAGTAACAAAAAGTACAAGTTCGCTTACACTGTAAATCTCGCGGTGTTGCGGCAACACCAAAAAGGTGTAACATTACACTGATTAGGTGTAACGCGGAATTAAACACTGTTCGAGTGTAACATTACACTTCCACAGTGTAGCTTTACACTGTTTTAGTGTTTTGGTAACACTTACTAGGTGTAAAATAGAAAATATCCTAATTACACCTAATTCGGTGTAGATTTGCATTATAACGGTGTAACCTTACCTCTTCTCACTGTTAATTTACACTTTGCGATGGTGTAAATATACACTTATTTGGTGTAAAATATGCCAACACTTGCGAAGTGTAAATTTACACTTTTCCTGCCGTATTATTACACCTAGAATGCGTTAAAATACACTGAGCTGCAGTGAAGTAGAAACTATTGTATTAGTTATTATTGCGGTGTAAATTTACCCTTAACTAGTGTAAATTTACCCAATGATTGTGTATGAGATAACACCATAATAATGTAAATATACACGGGTATGGTGTAAAAAATATGAATGCTTACTTAGTGTAAAACCACACTGAACCTGGAGTATAATTACACTAAGACCATGTTAAGATACACTGATGTAGTGTAAAGTAGAAACCGAAGTTTTGACACCTTTTATGCTGTAAATTTACCTTCAAACGGTGTAAATTTACCCAAATCTTGTGTATGAAAAAACACCTTGATTGTGTAAATATACACCGATATGGTGTAAAAAATATGAATGCTTACTTAGGGTAAATCTACACTGAACCTGGTGTATAATTACACTAAGACCATTTTAAGATAAACTGATCTGGTGTAAAGTAGAAACTGAAATATTAACGAACACCTATACTATGCTGTAAACTTACCCTCAAACTGTGTAAATTTAGCGATCTAATTCTCGTGTATGAGACGACACCATGATAGTGTAAGGTGTAAACCTATATCAGTGGTGTAAACATACAGAATTCGAATAGTGTAAAAGTTTGTATGGGGACCAAAATATACTGGCCGGCTTACCCTTCACATTAGGGCTTTTTGAAAAGTCGGTGTAAAAGTGTAAAGTATAAACTATTTTATAAGACTACCTTTAAACGGTGTAAACTTAAACGGTGCGTTTTGTAAGGTGTGCCATGCAGACCTCACATTGTTCATTTTTTATTGCAATCTGTTACCTCCATATATTAAGTTTTCCCAATCTAATCTTTTTTTGGTGGCCCCTTACTAGTTACTTCTACTTTAATTTGGCCAGGCTATACCCCCCCCCCCTCTCCAAATATGCCCTGCTGGCTATGGTGTACATTATATGTCATAAATCCCTCCTTCTCGGTGTTTATCCTCTACAAAATAAGACAGCTAGAATTTTGAAGGTAAGAGTTTCTATAAAAAACCGTACTACCAACCTCGTTCCCAGGGCTTCAGTGTGAGGGTTGCCGCACTACAGTTTAATTTGCACTGGATTGTCCACATGATTGAGATCAGTGCCTTCAGCAATCGCGTGCCATATATGGGCTCCCAGAACTGACTCTTCCACAGTCCCTAACACTGCTTCTAACGCAAAGGACCATGGGAATGCCCCGAGGCGTTTTGTTAGGGACTGTGAAATATTGTGTCTGTTTCTTGGCAAATCTGTCCATTTCTCGGCAAATGCATAAATTTTGATAATGAGCGAAGATTTGGACGAGAGCTTGCCTTTGCAAGACTTAAAAAGCATCTGGTCGGGTTCAGAGGAAGATTTGGAGACGTCTATGCATAATCTATCGCTGAATGACGAGGATTATGGTAAGTGTTGACAAATTGATACAAGCCATGTGTGCAGGGCATATAATTTCTGTTGGAAATATCGCAATATTTGCATAAACCGCTTTTTATATTGTCATTTTTCGTCACATCAGATAATGATAAACGGAGAACAAGCACTCCTATACAAGAAATACATCAGATAATCATAAACGGAGAACAAGCACTCATATACAAGAAGAAGGCAACGTGAAAAGCCCCGCGCAAGGAAAGCACACATTCACGGCTCCATCAACGAAGCAAACTCCATATTTGCCACCAGGGCGCTTATATAAGCGCCCTGTTTGCCACCGTTGAAGAGAGTTTGTGTTGGTAAGTTTTAAAAATAGTTTCATATATTCAAAATTATATATCTCTTTGAACAAACTTTATCGCGTGCAAGATTTCATTGGATTTATAATTTATTAAATAGCTTATAATAATTCAATTGTTCAGGAAAATCCCTATCAGGGAAACAACGATTGGATCAAAGAAAGGGCACTACAATTGTTTTAAAAGATGGTTTTGAATTGCACGACAACAGTCAAACACCTAATGATACGGTTCTGGCATATCTGGGCGACGATACTGTCATAAAATCACGCGTATAAACTCGAGCAGTAAAAGAGGCTTTCCTTGGAGTCTACATCAAGAGGTATAGAAAAGATAACAAAAATCAGTATCCTTTTTATAAATCTATATTATACAATTAAACCAATTATATTGTATATATTACAATAAACTATCAGGCTTTTGAATATCAATAACATTACATATATTATTAGCAACATCCTCCTGGCCACTATAGGTTCCTTTCTAATGTCAACAGATACCTGTAGTACTGCAGTAAGAGCCAGTGTTTTAAACTGCTAAATGTTTTAATTTGTTAGCAGCATGACTAGAATGGTTGGTGTAATTCTATTAAAAATTACGGTCAGAAATAAATTTTCCATTGAATCTGTTTAGAACCATTGATTCAATCCTTTTAGAACCATTGGTTCCAATTTCTGTAACAATAATTGTAGATATATAATCATTTAAAACGTTCCTTCACTGATAAATTAACAGAGTGTTTTTTTATTAACCTACGGGAAAAGTGTATTGCTCATCAATTTTCTGACATTAAACATGATGAGATTGAATCAAATAGTATGAGTATATTCTATTATATATCTGATAAATCTAATGTATATACAGGGACGCCGGAAATGGGGGAGCAGGAGGGGCAGCCGCCCCCGTTGCCGTTTACCAGGAGGGGCAAAGGTGCCCTTCAATTTAAAGAATTGCCTTGGTGAAATAGCGAATTGTCAAAAATTTTAGTGCGATTCTTTTACGAATTTGCTTCAGAAAACGCAAGAAATGCAGTCATCGGGCTTCAAGAACTGACTCTTCCACAGTCCCTAACACTGCTTCTAACGCAAAGGACCATGGGAATGCCCCGAGGCGTTTTCAATCAGCGCGCGTTGGGTAATTCAACCGCGCGTTAGGTAAGCGACTGGGGACGAGTCAGCTTCAAGAATAGCACAATCGCCTGGTGGAGAACCCCCTCACACCCCTATCATCCAATAAATAGAAAACATGATTAGGCGAAGTTCAACTCCCGATGTTTTGCAAACATCTCTCAGTATATATCAATTCAAAAGTGCCCTTTAACTAAAATCTGCCCCCCTTGCCTTCACATTGTTCCGGCGTCCCTGTGTATATAATTATAATAAATTCTTCCAAGCCCACCCCCCCCCCCAGCCACGAATAGGCCTCTGACTACATACAGTATGCGTTATTAACCCTTTAAGTGGCAATGCACTCTGATGCACCCTAATTCAGAATTTTACTCTGTCTAATGCCAGACAAGCATACTGAAGCATTCTTTCTCACATCATTGATTTTTGTAATGGGTCACTCCAGAAAACATCCATACCACCGCCACAGAGGAAATAGGAAGCTAACCCCCCTACCCCCTTCGTATGATCCGTTCCCTGATCAACCCAAGGCGGCACATTTTATTTTAAGGAGAAGGTTCTTTTAATATGTTCCAGGTAGGAAAACAGTAGAAAAGTTTGGTGATCCCAAAAAGGCGTCAATTTCCACTAACAATGTTGATTCTTATGCAAGTTGGAAAAGGAAAGTTCTGGCCACTTTCAACCGAAAATAGTGTATGGAATAATGAATGAATTAGATGTTAATGAGTCTGATGATCAAAATATTGGAAGTGAATCAGATTAAAAGACAAAACCTTTACTGTACACACATCCCACTCATATTTCAATGTAGCAATAATTTTTTACAGTTGTGAAGGGTTGTTTTGTGGTAAATCATGGATAATAAAATAAATTTATTTTATTATCCGTGGTTAAATAGAGCATGTACATGTAATTTAACTTGAATTAATCTGCTATGACTATGTATGGACTCTCCATAATGATGTTGTTTTTTTTACTCTGAGTGGATATCCTCACCGGACAGGCTGAAAAGTTTGCATGGTCATGCGGTGGGACAACTACCTTGTCCAATGTTCTGCCAACTGAGCTACGAGGCCAAGTCTGTTCAAGTGTTTGGTATTTCAGAACTAAGTCTAGTACCTTCAATACCAATGTGTTTTCAGAGCAGATCAAGAAACATTAAATTATTTTCATCTGAGTACATATGTAGCATCAAAACACACACACAAAAAAATATCAAGTCCATAATTATGTTTACATAAAACATCTATGAAATAATTCTGAAATAATGGATATAATTTGACTCGAGTGATAACAGTGTTACTGTTTTATCTCAAATATTGAATAGTATAAATCCTCACTGACACTGTATGTACTTTCGAACCGTTGAAAGAACAAATAATTGAAATATCCAACAGCAAAAGCAGACATCATGCATTTGTTAATAGAATGGATATTTTTGTCACTCAATTGAATTTATTAATTTGGTGATACTAAAAATAGATAGATAGATAGATAGATAGACATATTAAGATTAATTTCATTTACCCCTGTCATCTGAAGCTGATGTCCACAGTGGTTGTGCAAAAATAGCATTACAATATTTGAATTTTTTTTTTAAAATATGTTATATGGTACATTGTTTCAGCAGTGTACACTCTACAGTGTCCAAATAGCAACATAACAATGTTGAAAGTATTTACAAAATATGTGATATATACAGTAGTGTAGGCTTTAATATTCCTTAGATGAAGTACAATAAAATTGAAATAGACCAGTTGAACTGTATGTTTGAAATTCACCATAATAAAAATGATGGCAGGTGTCAATTTTACCATAATGCTTTGTGACCCTGAATTGGTTATATGAACTGTAAGAA